AAATCTTTATCATGTGATTTCAATGTATTGTGACATTATTTCTTTCGATAAAAAAGTGACTTATTATTTCAACACAATTTTGTCATTATGTTGTAGTGAGACTCATAATCCTGTCACTAATTCGTAGCTAATTTGTGACGAAAATTAGTAACAGTATCATCACAGTTTGTTACGAGTGCTATTGGCGTCACAATTTTGTCACCTACTGTGATATATTTTGACTACAACTTATTCAGTAATAATATTGTGACGAATTAGCTACAAATTGGCTACAAAAATAATTGGTCACCAAATCGTATCGATACCGTCACCAATTTGTGACGAATGCTTATTGTATCAAATTTTCATCACAATAACTTCATTTTCTTGTAGTGTATGTCTTTAAAATGTAATCCATGATTCCTATACATTGCCATTTCTGGCCATATGTATGGCAAGGTACGCTTATTTTCATCGAACTCTCTACTGTCCATATTTAGAGACGTTCTTCTTTGTAATCAGATTCACCTTCTTTCGTTATTACTCCACGTTTTCGTTAATTCTGTCAAAAAACAAAGACGCTTGAAGTTGACAGGGGTGGAATTACGCTCAATAAGTAGATGATATACACTGCCATGTACTTTCTTGATTGATGTGTCCTCAGGATCTTCCTAATTGGCCTTTACGTAGCTTGTATTCACTATAGGCTATGTCCTTCTCTTCAGATTGCAGGATCAAGATGGTAGTGATGTTCTTGATAAGAATGGAAAACCTTGTATAGATTCCGATGGAACTGGCCAAATCTCTAGGGACCTTTCTTGGATGTGTCCAACTGATATTTATAAAGGGAAACAAATCAGAAGTGACAACATTCAGGTCTTTGTTTTAATTCTATGACAATTTGATGGTTCTTTATTCTCCCTCTGTTTACTCTTTTTCTCTTATCATGTTTGTTTCTTATTTGTTTATAAATCAAGAGTAAGGTTATAAATTTTGAAGCACATGGAACCCTGTGGCAAAGCGTATGTAGTTTACACTCTATGTTTAAGATTGATTCTCTTTTTGTTTCTATCACTTAACACAACTTGTAACGATATGTTTTTCTAACAAGCTGATCTAAAGGCCTTGGAAAACTATGTAGGAAATTCCAAGTTTGGTGTGCTCTTCCCTCAAAAAGGATCATGATATTTGGGTCCCAAGGTGCGCTTTTTGTATATAGAAGATAGTAATAATTTTATTGTATAACCTACAAGCAAAATTATAATTTACCAGTTCACGATATATATATTGATTTAGATTGTGACATATATTATTATTGTAATATAACATTTTGTTATGTTTATTAGTTAGACCACAAGAAAGAAATATAAAATATGTTGGGATACAATAATTTTCATTTATTTAAGCGAATCGTTTAACATCATGTGTCTTTAGCTTAGGTAGATACATTACCTCTATCAAATATGTGGAACAAACTCAAAGATATTTAGGCTTAAATCAGTAATGGTCCAAATAGCTTAATGGCCTAATGGCAGCGTATTCTATTACCCAGGATGGTTTTGGTCGAGAATTAAGTGGTCAGACGAACATGTATCTTCTATCAACGTTTGGAAACAACACATAGAACCTGACTTGAGCGTCAGAGAGCCGTCGAAACACGACTGAAAAATACTCTTCAGTCGTGTTTCTCGACTCTCACTTTGTTCGTTGGACATCAACCGATCCTTAGTGGCCGCTCAAGAAATTCAAAGTCTCTGAAGAAAAATCATAATTGAAAATAAAACTGTAAAAAAATTATAAATATAAAAAAAATCAGCATTTAAATTAGTAAATATAGATTATGACATGTTTTAATAATATAAAGTTTTCTATATTAATTAATTAATTCGATCATTAAAAAAAATTAGTAAATTTTTTTCTAGAAAAAAAGAAAATTTTAGCATTTTAATTTGTAAATGTAAATAAAATTGTCAAAACATAATGAAATAAAAATTTACAAGAGTTTTGTTAAAAGGAACTTAAGAATCAAAGAGGTGTTGGAAGCTAAATTGGATCCGAGTAAACTAATGTGAGTGTGTGACCATTGTCACTGTTCTAGGATCATTTTACTCATATATGCTGCATAATCATGGATTATCTAAAGGCCAAAGAAACGCTAAGGGAAATTTGGCACGACCGGTTACTAAGTGCATTTTGATCGTGTTTTTGGATGACTAACGTGAGAGCGAAGTGTCTCATGGATTGTTAATAGCGACTATTGTGTATAAACACGAGTTAAAAACCCATTTAATCGACCCTTGTAGAAATCTCGTCCCTTTTTATGCATCATACAAAGAGAAAAGTCTTATAAAGAGTTCAACAAAGATTTCAAGAGAAAGAGAGGGATATTACAAGTTACAACCGGACAGGTGATTCTGGTCAAGTCTTGGTAGATTTGGTTAAAATGAACTAAGAATCAAAGAGGTGTTGGAAGATAAACTGTATGGAGTCAATACCAAATCTGAGTTAACTAATGTGAGTGTGTGACCATGGTTACTGTTCTTGGATCGTTTTATTGATATATGTTGCATAATCTTTGATTGAAGAGCAAAGAAACGCTAAGGGAAATTTTGGCAAGAGATGGGTTATGAAGTGCATTTTGATCGTGTTTTTGGATGAATAACATGAGAGCGGTTAATCTACTATGGACACTCGAGAACGGTTATCCAGACACATGTTTTTACGCAAAAGTGTCTCATGGATAGTTAATAGCGATTATTGGGTATCCAGAAATCTCGTCCATTTTTTGCATCATTCAGAGAGAGAACAAAATAGAGTTGAAGAAAGATTTCAAGTGAAAGAGAGGGGTATTACAAGTTACAACTGGATCGAGTGCATCACGAGGAGATTATGTTCAAGTCTTGGTAGGTTTGGTTAAAAGGAACTTAGTATCAAAGAGGTGTTGGAAACTAAACAAAATGAAGTCAATGCTGATTCGAGTTAACTAATGTGACTACATTATCATGGTTATTGTTCTACGATCGTTTTATTTATATATGTTGCATAATCTTTGAATAATTGGGTTATTGCGACGGATTGCTTGTCATGTTAATATAATTTGCATATTTGTCTTGATGATCTAATGGATTGATTGGAGATCTAGATCATATAATACACTTGGGAGTCTAGTGTTCTCCCTCAGGCTTACCTAGATCATGAGATGATTGCATGATAATATGGTTATGATAAGTAATATTTATAGTGTAGAATTGATAGTATGATCCCTATGGCCTAGTGAGACGAGATGTATTCATTA